ATTTTCCATCTCTCCCTGTGGTTGTTTTGTTTTATTGCTGTATACAGAGGCTCTGCTCCAGGTCCTTGATCCTAATAAGCCAATTACAGTAGAGTTTTCAGGCTGCCTCACTTTTGGCACAATTGTGCTGTAGATTTATATTTTAATTGATAAAATTGCCATTTCTGCTCATCAATCTAAACTTGATTCATAAAGAGTTGGAAACAACCAAAATTGTAGTCAGGCTTTTCCTGTTTGCTTAAATCTTACTTGGCATGTTTCTAGAATTTGATATTAACTTGAGTCCATCAGTGGAAAATTGAATTGATTGGGCAGTTTAGAAGTAAGTTCCCACACTTCACACTGCACGTCAAGACAAAAACCAAACAACTTGGTCCAAAGACCTCTCTAGTTACCTCTGTTGTAAAATTCTGATCGGCAAAGATCAGAGCAAAGGTATAAATTCATCTCCAAAGCTTTGAGTGTCTCCAGGAGCACAGTGGCCTCATTAATGGTGAAATGGAAGATATTTGGAACCACAAAGCCATTAGGTTAAACTCAATAAATGGACAAGAAGGGCTTTGGTCACCACTTTGAGTAAAAGGCATGTGAAAGTCCACTCTGAGTTTTCAATACAACATCTGTGTGGGGTAAAGATCCTCTGGTCCGGTAAAACAAACCCCTCTTGATCTTTTCATTCTCCTTTGTCGAGCTATAATCTACCAAAAAGAAGTTGCGCGAGGATCTGTGTTGGGGTGGTACATCAATCCCGGCAGCATTTGTATTTCTTCATGTTGTTTGTGCTGCGTTGACCCGTAAAGAAGTTCAGAGTTGCCTGCGATGGACGGACCACTTCAGAGACGCAGCATAGCATTACCCTCGAACCACAACCATGGCTCCTGTGTTAGCCATTGTGGTTGGAAGTAGTACTTATTTCTCCCTGCAGCCTGCAGTTGTGTCTGTGAAGGAACCTTTTCGTTTTCTCCATCTCTCTGTAAGACGCCACTTCTCTCTCCTCATTTAGTTTTTTAGATAATCAGTCATGGATCATTTTATCTTTGGAATACACTAAGAGTAAAAGTACTATGTTCATCCACAAAGGTGAATGCAATACATTTTGGACGTGCAGTAAAACGGACTAGTGTTTATTATGCACTTGAAATTTTAACCTTTTTGGTCACAGTCTACTACTTTTCTCCATTCAGCACGATAATGACCTGAGGCAAACAGCCAGAAAAAGGTTGCAGTATCTGTGGGACTGTTCTCTTGAAAGTCTTTGAGTGGCTGAACCAGACTTAACCTCCATAGAACATCTGTGAATAGACCTGAAAATGCTTCTTATCCTAATCTTTTGGGGTTTGAGAGGATTTGACAGGAAGAATGGGATAAACTGTCCAAATCCAGGTGTGCAAATCTTCCAGAGATTCAAATCTCTTAACTGCTGCCAAGGGAGATTCAAAAAAGTACTGAATTTAGGGTCTGAATAGTTGAGTAAGTCAGAAATTTCAGTTTTTTTTTAAATGTCTAAAAATATGTCTCTACTTTTGTCTATTGTCGATGGATGGGGTTATGGTTAGGGTTACAACACAAAAGGCATTCTTAATGCTTGATGATGCCACATTAGCACCTTCTAACACTTCCATGACTCTGTTTGAGCCGTCTGTAAACATAAACACAGCTCATGAATGCTCACAGTTTTCCCACATTGCTAGATGGTGTTGTTTAAGGACACACTCTTGAAAGAGTTGTTTGCAGATTGCAAAATGAAGGAAGAAAAAGGGCAAGGGCCTGTGTGTGTGTGTGTTAGTGTGTGTGTGTGTGTGTGTGTGTGTGTGTGTGTGTGTGTGTGTGTGTGTGTTTTCTCCAGGGAGTATTACAGACTTCAGTTTGCAGTGATAGGAAATGTGCTGTGAGCTTGAACTTGCTCCCCTGATGAAGTTGATTCACAGAAATCGGGCCTGTTATGTTGTTGCTCAACCACGCAGACATCTGCTGCGTGTTTTTCTTCTTTTTCTGCTCTTATCCCTCCACAGACACATATGGCTCCTCAAAGATGCTCTCAGACAGAAACTCATTCACATTCTCACAGAACATTCCTCTCAATGAGTCATGAGCACATCGAAACACACACAGACACACACACAGACGTACACACAACCACAAAAACACGCATCTCAAAGCGTCAGCACCACACAAAAAACACACTGGTGAAGGTGGAGCCATTAACGACCTTTAACAGGTCAAGAGCCAGATATTTCCCTCAGGTGTTGGTGGAGACCAAAAAAAAGCTAAAAGAGAGTGAATATTAGACTCTCGCTCATCTGATGGACAGAAACCTGACTCCGGATGAAGGGTGATGCTGCTCTGTGACCGCTGGATGTGTAAATAAGCAACTGTTTACTCACTAACGGTTCTATATATGTGTCTGTTGCCCCCAAGTTGCCTAAGAACACCAGTTATTGGGGTTTACGCTCCATGTAGTGTGTAGGTGTGGAGCTTTAAGTTATATATTATATATAGTTTGTCTAGTTTATGATTGGAGTTGCAGAAGTTCAACATTAGCAATGGTTTCTCACGTTTCTCGTTATGGGCCGAAATAAAGAAAAGAAAACAACTTACAATCTTTCTCTTGATTAAGGCCATGCAACGGAAAGCTTCAGAGCAACTTGAGTGCACTTGTTTTTTCATCTGCTATTTCCAAGAATGAATTAAGAATCAGTTTCCGTTAAACTTGATTTTTTTGATTTTATAACACGTTGCAGTCTCTGCAGCACTCGTTTGTTACCAATCAGTATTGATATGATGAGCTGTTTTTTTGCTCTCTATTCGTTTTTCCTGTAAGTGTGCACATCTTTCCTCTTAGACCATGCTGATTGAGCTTTATCTTTCGACACAGGCCAGCTCTAAGAAAACCTGGAGGTTTTTTAACCCGAATTTGAATAAGCAAAAATAAAATTCTCTGAAAATCCTGCTCTAAAATTCAGCCCTGACAGCATTTGGCTCACGTTGGCTTTTAGTCAGTTCCTCTTTCACTGACTCAGATCGCAGTAAATGAGTCACATCCCTTACATCTGTGCATCACAGTGTATTTTCATTGATAATACTCGACACTGTGGTTAAAACAGAGAGCGTTTGGACTCATGGGCTTCATTCACAACACTGTCAAGCTGAGGAAATTGGGCAGGGGGGGGTTAATCTATTCTTTTGATGTCTGTGTGTTCCTGTCTGTTTTTATGTGTGTAGGATTAACATAGACATTCCTCAGGCTCATTCACTGTCACATAAACTCAAACTCATCCGGTGCACAAAGCCCTGGAATCTGTCCTCCCTGCTTTTTTCTTCTGCTCCTTATCTGTCTTTCTCTCTCCTGGCCAGCCCAAAATTGTGTCTTTCACTGTCCTGTCAGTTTCCTTTTGTTGCTTCTGTTCTCTCACGCTGCCCTCTTGCTTTTTCTCTGCTCTGATGCACGTGTTTGTCCCATAAGGTTCGTTGCTGATCCAACTGTAGCTCGTTAGCCTCCTTGGCTTCCACTGTGAGCTGTGGTGGAGAAAGTGCATTTCACAATGTAATTGTATCGTGGGTTTTAAGAGCTATAATTTCTCTAGTAAACAATGAAACGTATCAATATTCATCACCAACCTGATTTTGTTTTTTGTATATTTTCTTGTAGATTAACTTTTTTGGCAAACTTTTTTGACTTTTTGAAAATATTGCATCAGAATTATCTGGTTCAAAGTGGAGACCTTGAGCACTGCAGCTTTATAATTATCCATATTTCAATTACCTCATTTATGGATTCATATTAAATGTAATGTGCACAACAAACTGTTCAAATATATTGAATCTTTAGTTCTAATGTTTCTTATTTTATTCTTAATCTCTGGTATAATGCAATAAAGCAAATGCACTCATTTAACGAGGTCTAATATGATGTTGCTTGAGAAAATGACTTAAATGGTTGGTTGTTGTTTGGTTGTTGTTTGGTTGTTGGTTGTTGGTTGGTTGTTGGTTGTTGGTTGGTTGGTGGGTGAGGAGAGTGTCATTGTGACCTCTTTGTTAGGATTTTAAATTAGATTTGCTGAATCTGTTTTCTTTCTGTCAGATGTTGCCCATGCAGGCTTCATTTCTGAGGTGATTTCTGGCCCAACATGCCATGGGGCTGTCCACATGGCTGACCCAGTCATCCATCCGTGTGTGTGTCTCTGTGTGTGATTACACCCGTGGCATTGTTAGAGCTCATTTCTATGTGGGGGCTTGGAAGACCCGCGATGCTATATCAGTCACATATGATTAGTTTGAGTGTATATGTCCGTCATTGTGCTCCTGAGTATGTGCGCACGCTATTGTTCTTCTGTCCATCTGAGTTTCAGGATTACCTGCATGGGACAGGACTTTAAAAAGTGGCCTGACACATGTGGAAATCATCTCCATATGAATTCTTATTCTCTGTGTCTGTTCTTAGTGCATAAAAGTTACTGAGGGTTTCGTTGGTGGTTTACAGTTCACACAGGAAAGGTCACAAGCCTCAGACTCTCGGTCAAAGTGTCAGGAGTTCATGCTAAGTGCCTCAGGTCAATGAGCCACCAGGAAAATGCTCATATCTCATTTAACATTCTTCAAATGCACAGTCGGCCCTGGTGGGGTCGACCTTGGAGCTCTGCCATGGGAGCTCCCATCATGCATCCTTCCTACGATTCACTGAATTTTCTTTCACAAAGGGTGGCCTCAGTTTCAGCACAAAGGATTCACACTCACACACACACACACATATATATATACATATATAAACACTGTTAAAGATCAGAGGATTAGTCAATTAATTGAAGTACTTATGTTTCTACGGAAATTACAAAAGTTTCCGCCTCTAGAATGTCTTTGTTTTACATCATTGTCATACATCGTTGGTTTTCGTATTGTTGGTTGTGACACTGACACACTTTACTTTCCACTTTTTGCCTGTTTGCCTTTTTCTTTAACATTTCATGAGAATATTGTCGAATTTGTCTGACTCTTGTCTTCAGGCCTCCAACCCCAAGCTGACGACTCAGTGCTCTGATATCCAAGAAGTCCGTCGATGCAACCGACTGGAGATGCCCGACAAATTAAACACATTTGTTTTAAAGGTATGTAAAAACAATGCAAAGAATTCTTACATCAATGATGTTTGAGGCTTTTAAATGGTGAATCACTTGATCATTTTCCGTAAGACTTTGCAGGAAAAAAAGATCGAACCTGGAGAATTTTAAATGCATCATTGTCTGTGCAGGTTAATCGAGGTAGTCTGATATTTGAGACCGACAATGACCAGCAGGTCAGCTCCTGGACCACAGAGCTGAAAGAATGTATCAGCAACAGGTGAGAAACACAAAGATACCTTTTATTGAATGTCGATATTAGAATCCAGTCTGTTTCAAACTACATACACACACACACACACACACACACTGACAGTGCACAGCAGCCTGAGTGGTCCTCATCTCTCATCCCTCTCTCCCTAAACGCAGCTTTTTCCATGAGATTCTGAGCAGAAATATTTGACACTTGGACTTGTTGGCTGCTTTCAGTGTTTGTGGGTGTGCTGGATGTGTTTACTTGTGCTGAGGTATGTGTTTGCAAATGCAAGTGAGAATATTTGTAGTGTATGAGTATATGTGAACAAACATTTACGTGAATGTGTGTGTGTCCACGTCTATTCGTCAGTTCCTGTGCTTTACAATTTGCAGTTTGCTCTCGTGTCACTTCGACCACTCATCCATTAGCTTTATGGCTCTACAGGCCGGAGCAGATTTGAAAAGAATAATATATGAAACTCATCAGTCAAATTCAATCTTAACACGTTACCTTTGAGAGGTAACAATGCATCTGGTGTGCACACTAATCTGTTAGGGCTTGAAAGTTTGGCAATAAATGTTGTTTTCAAATTGAGCTGAAGTTAAGTGTGTTTGACTTTATGAGTTAAACATATTAGAAAAGAAAAAAACGCATAAATAGTCCTGCACACTGTCCGACCCTAGAGGCAGTTCTTTTCACACAGATGTTTATTCAAGTCATTTTAATTCAACATTTGTTGGTTTCAATTATCTATTTGATGCTATAAAAGTGGGGTGAAATGTCATATACAATAGGGCCCTCTACAGACATCACATAAGAACTTTAGGCTCCAGATTGTAGTGTGTAGTCTATAGTATAGAAATACTCCATCAGTATTATTATGGTCAAAAAATCGTTACCAAAAAATCGTTATAGGTGTGATGATCCACAGCAGTGAAATGTTTTCCTTCACTGAAGAATTTGATAAATCTTTGAATTCAGGAAATCATAGAAACAGGAAAACAAGCAGAGAAGAACTCATGAGAGAAGTTAAAATGTAGAAATACATTTAGTTTGCTGAGTACTCACCAATGAATCAATGTAAGTAGTAAGTATTACTCAAAGGAATACTCAGTACTGTAATACAACTTTATACTTTTGTCTGTTAGTGTTGAACAGTGTGTGTGTGTGTGTGTCTGTCTATGTGCAAGTGTGTGTTGCTCTGTGAAAGGAAATGTGTGGGAGGTCTTAGACTCAAGAGAATCTCAGGACCTTTCTCATTTCTGCAGATGTCTGGAACAGACACACACACACACACACAGATCGGGGTCAGAGTTCAATCTTGAATTCACTGTGTTTATTCAGATACCTCACAAACCAAGTTCATGTGACAACATGGAATCATTATGCGGTCAACTTCTTGGTATTTATTGGCCAACGTGTTCACTTTTTGTACAAGGGATTGTGTAAATCTAGATTTGTACAAGTTTCCTTTTTGCCTGTGAATCTAAATTTCAAAACTCCTCTGTCACTCATCTTTTTTTACTCAAACATACATTTGTACTGGATTCAGAGGAAAGACTGCCAGTAATGTCAAACACGCCTGTCTCCATATCTGAACTGTTTTCATCACACCTACATGTCAGCTCTTAACATGAGTCTAATTCAGACCTTATGTTCTCCAGGATATGTCAAATGAAAAAAAACTAGGCTCTCCATTCATCATTTATATTTGAACACAGTGGCGATGCCAACACAAGGTGCTTCAGCAGAAAGGTTTGCACAACAGCATCACCCACCTATTTCCTTTCTGGAGAAGTCAAGTCATTTGCACAGAAAACAACAACAAGTCACAGCAGGAAAAGCCCACGTGTAAACAATAAACTTCATGATGGGTGAATTCCAGCGAGCTGCTTCCGCATCAGGGTCAGAGTCATCACTGATGTTATTAGTAACACCTGTGTCTGCAGAGGAAAAAGATTGTCTGAGCGGGTGTGATATTATCCCTGTTTGTATGATTCATCGTGCTGAAAGTACAGAAGAGGGACGAGGGAAGCACGGTTGGATGCTGGCACGTGTAGAAACACGTTCTGCCTTCAGATGTGGTTGGATGTCGTAGGTGTAGTTTGTTCCAAACCCTTAACTCTAGTCCTTGAAACATCGCTGACTGGCAGAGGTTTCCTCACTCTGTTGGAGTGAAATGTGAAATGATTCTCACAGAGATAGAAGAAGAGAAACACACAGACTCGCTCAGAGAAAGGAGTCTTGTCTTCCTGTTATTCAGAACGCTGCAAACTCTAGTCAGCATTTTAGCAGGATTTGCTCCGGCTTGCCTCTCTAACCTTCCCCTTCTCATCTGTGTATGTACAAGCACACGCACACAAAACCACAAATGCATGTGTACACAAAAAACACAGACATACAGACTGTGTGTGTGTAAAGTAAGAGCTGTGAAACATAAAAAACATCACATCTGCACTGGTGAACTGGACTCACTTCCTGTCTGTGCTTGGTGTCTTTACTTCAACCTGCTGTTTCCTCCACGATCACCACGTTCACCACGTTCACTAAACACACACACACACACACACACACACACACCATCATCATCGTCTAAGCTATTTTTTTAATGCAAAACACAAACATTGCACAGTTCCAGCCTCTCAATTGTGAGTTTCTCTACCGCTCCCAGTCTTTTTCTCTCTCCACCCATCTGTGTAGCTCCTTCTTATAAAACATGCAGCATCAATAAATCACTGAAATATTTATTTTTTGAGACGCTGGTGTAATTAAAGTAACTAAATAAGATTTCTGTCACAGCTCCTCTGTATTTTCATGTAAAATATGATGAGGAAATTGCCATGTTTTCCTCCTCAGGTGGCCCACAGTGAGATGAACACACTGTGCATGTGTAATCTGAGTCTGGTCTTCTCCTTCAGGTCAGGCAGTGTGGATCTGGAGCCCCTCCCTTCCCCAGCTGACAACTCCGTTCCAGCCAATCGCAGAGGAAGCTCAGCATCCGCAAATCAACGTGAGTGGAGAGATCAGACACGTCCTCCAACACTCAGGGTGTAGCTGTGTGTGCTGTGTCCCATGATGTGTCCCCTCTGGTCTGGGATGAAATTTTGACAAACAACCTCTGGGACTTATTGGGATTAAACTTTACAATCGGACAGTCCGACTTCATACCATCACATCGTGCACTCATCAGACGCTGACCCTGTTATGTGCACAGGTTCCGTGCACTCAAAGATTATTTGTGTCGTTTTTAGCCCCTGCTTTGGTTGTAAACTCCAAATAAATCAGTTTAGATGATCAGGATTAGCTTTTTGTTTACACTCAGTCTAAACATCTGAACTTTCTTCTTCAGTTTCCCCATTGAACTTATTTATAAACTGCAATAAAGGCATTCTAGTTTATTCTCATTTTGGCCACTCGGGGGCAGCAGAGTAAATATCAATGATATGGTGAATGTGTTAAAAGTTAACGACACCCTCATTCTCCGTCAGTTATTCATCCAGCTTCATGATTCAGGAGAATGAAACCATCCTGTTCCTCTGTTCATCTCTCCAGCGCCCGTCACTTTCACCCTGCCAGAGCAGGTCGTCCAGAAGACGGATCACTTCCTCTTCTCCTACCCATGGTTCCATGGGCCCATCTCTCGCGTCAAAGCAGCCCACCTGGTTCAGAGCTCTGGACCGGAGGGACATGGCGTCTTTCTAGTACGACAAAGCGAGACGCGCCGGGGAGACTACGTCCTCACGTTTAACTACCAGGGAAAAGCAAAGGTACGTCTCACAGTGTCTGATGAAACAAAACCAACGGGTTTGCAGTAGCAGGTCATTGCACGACCTCTTCTTGATGATATGAATGAATGTTTTTTAGGAACCTGCATAGTTTGTCTTTTAAATGAGGAAACATTGTGCAAACACTCAGCTCATGTGACTGAGAAAAAGAAGAAAATGTCCCCTCTCGCTCAGACTCAGTGTAAAAACTCGGTGTCTCTCTGTCTCTCCAGCACCTGCGCCTCTCGCTGACAGAATGGGGTCAGTGCAGGGTGCAGCACCTGCGCTTCCCCTCTGTCACGGACATGCTCAGACACTTCCGCCTCTTCCCCATCCCACTGGAGTGTGGAGCCGCAGGTGCCGTCACGCTGTCCAGCTTCGTGGTAGCGGGCTCCAGCCCTCCGTCACAGGGTGAGACTCCCCCACAGCACATTCATATTGTTCTAACACATATTGATGCAGAGGTTTCTTTCAAGATGTTTGGTTCAGTTTGAATAGTTTCACCAACATTTGATCTTCTGGTGAGATTTGAGGATGAGCAGCGTGCCAGTGGGTGATGTACTCACAGACCAACTCGTTCCCTCCCCCTCAGGTTCGCTCTCAGGTGCCGTGCTGGTCCCGTTCTCCCTCCATCGCTGGAGCTCTGAGCCCAGCTTGGCTCACTGCAGCCTGGCTCGCAGCTGCAGTCAGCAGCCTTCCTCCTGCTCCACCACCAGCTCCACTTCCACTCCCAACTCCGTTTCCCAGCAGGGGAACCACCCCCCCGTTCGCACCAACACCGTCCCCAACCCTCTCCTGACGGCCCCCGCTCCTCTGCGCCGGAGCGAGTCAGTGGGGAGGAGGCCTCTGCTCCGTCACACCACCCCGCATACTCCCATCATCCCTCAGCGGGACTCGGACTATGAGCTGGAGCCTGAGCGGGGCCGCAAGCGGGCAATAGACAACCAGTACATGTTGCTGTGATCTGCTTAGTCGCATACCTGCATCACCTCGGAAAGACAGAAGTCACCTGTGAAGCCCACACACATAGACACACACAAACACACACATACACACACATTTGTAACCCCCCACCCAGCTTCAGGGGGGTGTCAGACATGATTTCAGGAGACTCATGAACTTGAATAAACAAGTCTGATAAATGCATAGCACTGTGTACGTCGAAGACACACACACTCCCCACGCCTGAGCTGCGGGTGTGTTTAACAGTGTCAGACCCTCACTGCGTCCCCCCCGAGTGTCCACAGTGAATGTATTTTTGGGAGTTTTATTACAGTGTTGACAATGACGATGATTATTCTTGTTGTATTGATGTTGAGGGTCTGTGTGAGTGAGGGAGAGCCACATGTGTAGCTGTCCTCGAGCCCGGAAAACTAGTTTCAAATATTTCTATTCAACCTCTGTGGCACTTAACCTTGAACTGCCTACAGAGTTGGATAAATCAAGTGCTCCTTTAAAATATTTAAAAGACATTTAATCTCGACACAAAGTTCCCAGTGTGGAGCAAACTCCCTCCTTCTTTTTTTTACAAACAAAAAGCTCTATAGTTTAGAGTGTTATCACACTCTATAGATATTCCTCTTACACATTACTATATATTGAAGTGCACATCGCTTTCAGTGCACTTTGGAAACAATGTGTATTTTTTCAATACACTGATTTTGTTTTTGTAGAAAAATTGAAAAAGTAAAAAGGGGAAAAACTTGGTTAAAGTCAGTCGGGAAGCTTTTTTCCTAGAAACGTATCGAGTGCCGCTTCCACTCGTTCAAACCTTCGCTGAAGAAATGACAGAACCACAGCAACAATTTAGGATTCCAGCTTTCATCAGAACCAAAGCTGTGGAAACTCCTGGCTGTGTGTGTGTGTGTGTGTGTAATGTATGGGAGATGTGTGAAAGTGTAGTTTATCAGCATGTTTTCGCTGATCTCAGTGTGGTACAGTATTCACCTTAGAGCATGTGTAAATTTGTATTTTTTACAAAATCAACATCAGGTCATTTCTGCAATAACATGTGAGAATGGATTTAATGAAGCCTGATGTAAAATCCTCTTTCCTCATAATCATTAAAAAGTCACAAAATGTTTTTTTGCTACTAAATAAATGCATTTTTTTAAATATACATTTTCATCTTTTTTTAATATATATATATATATATATATTATATACATGTGTATATGTGTTTATTTAGTAGCACAAAATTTGCATTGTGACCTCAAACCACTCCATTTTGTGTGTTAGAGATTATTCTGTCACCAAAATTAAAGTCAGCGGGGTGATTCTATTTTTACACCACGAAAAAATAAAGGTGTGAAATCGACATAAACTTGAAAGGCTTCACTCCAAAGAGAGCGCGTGTGTGTGTGTGTGTGTGGGGGGGGGGGCACAGACCAAAACAAAGTGACAAATAAATTGAAGGCACCAAATAATTTGTCTAATATTGGCCTTAAAGAACCAAAGTGTCGGAAACTTTAAAAATGTGGAGGTTCGATAATCTTGCATTAAAAACCTTCAAGGGTTTTTAAAAGTGGGCGGTGGCTGAAATCACACATGTGCCTTAGTGGATGTTAACATTTATTTTCTTACGGCAACAGAAAAAACTTGATTCTGGGATTTGTAATAATAGTGATATTAACATCATGTGTCTAACTCTACTTTTTACACTCACAACATTAATTCTTCTTTATTTCTTTCTGTTTTCTGTCACCTCAGCAGTGGGTAGAAAAACCAAGGAGGGACTGTGGAAATAATGTATTTTCACATCATACATTTTTCACAGCACTTCCATGTTTTTAATCACAGGCTTTATTTTATGAGGAAGGTTTGGTTTCAGTCTGCAAAGTGTTACACGCAGATGAGGTCTTTGTTCTCTTGTTTCTTTAGGTAGATTTTATGAACGATCAATCATTTCCAGTAACTTCTGCGTTATCGTTATCGTCATCGTTGCTTTAAAGGTTTAAACCACCAGTTTTAAGCTGCACTGATTATAACGGATAGATAGCACATCAATCAACTCTGTGATGTCACAAGCTGATTAATATGAGATTTTATCATCAAAGCTTTTCTACAGTTTCTCTTTCCTCTTGTCTGTTATTTAGGTTTTTAACTTTCTGTCCGAACATCACTGAGCCTGGTGTTTTTTTCACGATAACAGGCGTCTGCACTGTAAGAGATGAATTAAATAGCTCAGTGAATGTGACCAAACCTCAATTTGTTCAATGTACGTCCAGCAGCTGATCTGAAACGCCCCCGGAACAAAACCAGAGCGGAGGAGGACTTTTCCTGCACGCTCCAGAAGCCAATCACAACAGAGTAGGGCCAGCTGGCCAATCAGAGCAGACTTGGCTTTATCAGTGGGGGGCCTTAAAGAGACAGGCACAAAGAACAAGTGTTTCAGACAGAGGCTGAAAAGAGGAGCTGCAGCAACGAACAGTCTGAGGAAAGTGATGTGTTCTCTGAACATTAGAGCATTTAAACCTTTTCTAATAATAACCCAACTTGAAATGATGAAACTGAGTATGAGCAGAATGTCTCCTTTAAACCACAAAAGAAAAGATCAGTGTGAAGCCACGTTGTGTCAGTGTCGCTCACCCTCTAGACGCCTTCTGATGATTTTCCTAAAGCAGACACAGAAACGCACAGAAACTGTGATCACGTGTTCACACAGTAAATCTAATTTTCCCAAAGATCAAATGTCAAATTCTCTGACATTTACTTTCAGTTACTGAAGCTTGACTTCCCTCAGCAGCGGGAGGCCTTTAGGAAACATTGTGCTAAGACGTGTGTGTTTGTTTCTAACGTTGCTTTAACACTAACTTCAGCAGCTGATTTTACACTCAGTAAACCTGTGGTGTTTAAACCATTGTCTGTCACTGCTTTCTCTGTAGTCAGCTGTTATTTTAAGAGAATTACATGAACGTGATGTGATTACTTGTTACACAATAGCTTTTTCTACCAAAGGAACATTTGTACAATGGTTGTGTTGTTCTCTTCAATGTGTCATCGTGTTCGAGACTGACATCTGTCAAGTGTTTATAAGGGGAACAAAAACAAAGACGTTTTTGGCAAAAGTACGGTTGGTCTTCCTGCATTTATACGCCCGAGCCTAAACAAATCCCTTGTCACCCGTTTTTTGCTGAAAGAAAGCAACAGTAACAGTATTTAGTTTGAGTTTGATTTTTTTATTTTCAAGGAGAATGACTGTGCCTTTGCCAGAAAGCAGCTGTTGCTTTTCCCCTTTTGTTGTTTGAGAGCTCAGGGTGTGACGTGGCGCAGAACTCTTGTATAGTGCAATATCTGAGAGATGCCCAGTGCTTCACGTCGTTTTTACGTATGCAGAGTGAGCGGAGGCTTCAATGTGGATGAACTGTGTGAGAAATGTTTGTAAAAAGCTCTTAAGATGGAAAGAAAACAATGAACAAAGTTCCCAGACAACATGCTGCATTCAAAAACCAGGGCTGCATCACATGTTCCTCCTGCTTCCAGTTTTGTTTCATGGTTCAGAATCAAGTTAAAGCTTGAGATGATCCCTCGTGTATTTCAGGTGTCGTTCATCCTCAACATCCGCCCCCCCCCCACCCACACCCTCACCACTTGTTTATTTCAAAATGTCCAGTTGGTGAATGTGTCCTCAATACTGTTCATTCTGTTTGTTAACTTAGCACTGTAAACATTCCAGTCCGATCCCACGAACCCCCTCAACAGCCAATGAAAACCACGACAGCTTTTTAAAACCTGTTCATTGTGTTTGCATCCCTTTCAGTTATAAGCATCTAAATTATATTAAAATATATATATCAACTGTATATTTGACTTTTTGTAAAATAAACCTAACCAAAAAAAACCATGACTCACATGAGAAGTTTATTTGTGTGTCCTCGTTCTGTTATCTTGTTCCTCTGGAACGTCCTGTACGAGATAATGAGCCTGTGTAAAGAACCAGTACGAGATTATTCACTGTTCAGGTGACGGATGAAGCTGAGGCTGATAAACGTAAACCTTTGTAAAGTGTGTTTTTGTTCCTCTGCTGGATTCACAGAATCAAGATGTAGGCCTCCACCATCATGTCTGAGTAAGATTAGGAAGCTGCATCTTTTTAATATTTATAGAGGGTTAATATGCTGCTGTTACTCATGGCTCTATTAATAATGAATCATTTATTACTGCTCGGTTATAAGACATTAATAACTTTTGGGTCATCATTGTGGGAAATCCACGAAACAATCTCTGAATTCAGCTTTTTGCTGAACAATAGCTCTTAAGAGCAGGTCGTCCAATAACATGAAGGTTGGTGGTTCGATCCCCGCTCCCGCTCGCCACGACTGAGGTGCCCCCCCAACATCCGCTCCCCGCCCACCGCTCCAGTATATGTGTGTACATGGCAACTGTCAGTGTGTTTCTATGCGTGTTTCGACAGGTGCCAACTGGATGGGTTAAATGCGGAGAACAATTTCATGTATGCATGTAAAGTGTTAACGTGACAATAAAAGTAAATCTTCTTCTTCTTAAAAGATTACTTCCAATCCAATTACTTCCCCTATAGGGTCAAAGTCTTGAGTTGTAACAAAATAATATTTTAATTGTCAAATTATCTGTTTGTTCATAATGAAAAATAGTTTGATCTTTCAGGACCTCAGAAAAGAAGATTTTAAAAAGTTCCACAGCCTGATGTGGTGTCTGCTAGAAGTCCATACCCTCCGGTTGATGAGCCAGTTCTATTTGACTTTTTATTTAATGATAAATCGATTGTAATAGTGACCAGGGTCTCTCTATGTTGTGTTTGCATGTTCTCCCTGTGACTGTGGGAGCTTCCTCCCACAGAACAAGGACATGCAGACTGGGGTTATGTTGATTGACTCTAAATTGTCCGCAGGTGTGAATGTGCATTTGAATTGTTTGTCTGTGTGGTGACCCTGTGATCCGCTGGAGACCTGTCCAGGCTGAGGACTGGCTCCAGCTGCACCACAACCTCACAAGGAAAGGTGGTGCAGATAATGACAAGTTTGTGAATGTTTAACTAATGTGTCTATGTGTGATGAAGGTGCTGAAGGAAATGATAAGAAACCCACAATGCATTGCATCCACAGTACGCCATTCAGTTTTTAAAACTTTTTTATTGTTTTTTAATTTTTTTGCTCATTTTTTAAATTATTTATATTATCTACAAAGTAAAAGTTTTAACTTAAAAGTTACATAAGGGTCAGGTGAGAAGTGGGATCTGATCACCTCAGCCATCATAGTTTCATAAATAACGCTCCTCCTGTCCTCTTGGCTGCCAACACGTGTTCATTTCACAGGAAGCTTCTTGTCATGTTTCTTTTTTTTTAGTTTGGTTAGAAACGTGTCATGTAGTCTGGAAACAAACGCAGCACAAAGCAGCAGCAATAAACAGTAAGATTAATACTGTCTAAAAGTTGGAAGATTCTTCTTTTTTTTTTTTCCATAAACAAGGTGCAGACAAAATACAAGTTCCAGTTGAATTTTCGTTCTCCACTCTCACTGATTAGTTACTCTCATTCTCTTTTACTTGGCAAGCTGACTCGAAGTTGCAATTTGGGACCCCTGAAAGTGTGTGTGTGGTTATTTTGTTTGTGTGCATGTGTGTGTGTATCTGCATGTGAACAGGGGTTGAACAGGGGTTAAATAGGAGGAGTCTTGTCCGTTAAAACTCTAGCACGTTAAAACATGTCACTGCATCAACCTGTTAACATTCTCTTATTGCCTAGTCTGGGAGGGAGGGAGGGAGGGAGGGAAGAGAAAAGCTGATGTGAAGCATGTCTGGTGAGGATGAGGAAAGAGAGGAGAGGGCGGGGCTCTCGTTCTCTTCATCGCCCGGTTATGGAGGCTCTGGTTGAGGAGCGCGGACGCAGAGCGGGTCCCTCAGCTCACTGGCGCCATCTGTCTACAGCTGCTGCTGATGATGATGAGGCTGCACTGCAGACACGAGACAAGATGGAGGAAAAATGTAAAGTTGGAGGATGGTTTATACACAGAGAGATCCCTCTACCATCTCAGTAATAATCTGAATTTCATGATATGCAACAAGCAAACAAATAAATGATGACCCTACCGACTCTGATCAGAAAAGTCGTATTGATATTTTAACAAAACTCCGTCAGAAGACACAAAGAGGGTGATGACATTATCATTTTTACAGATTTTGGGAGTGAGGGTCGGCCATCGACAGCAACATTCTGGACTCACACTTCATACTGACAAATTGAGGACGGTCAACATAGACTACAACTTCTCTTTTTAAAAGTTGATGCCATGATGTGAAACACTGATAGCAGCAGCCACCATCGTTTACTTTCTGAGTAAATGTGTGCACATTGTAATATTGATTCTATTTTTTTACACTGTACAAAAACTAAAATTATACAAATTATCTGGACGACTACATAAACACATACTTATTATAAACAACAGCCTGAGAGAGACACGGTCATGCTCATCATCTATCTCCTTATTTTTAAGAAAACAACAAACATGCTCACTCCACCCATTGATAAAATCAACACACTGAAGTGAACATACCTTGTGGATGTGCCAGGTAGGAGAAATGTGTGGTGGATGAAACTGGGATGGGGTTGAGGGCGGTCTGAGGCATGGGTGGCTGCGGACCCCCTGGAGGACCCTGGGTAGCCATCAGCATCATTTGAGGGTGGGTAGGCGCCGGGTGGTGAGACTGAACTAAACCAGACTGCATATGGGCCTAAGAGTGTGTGAGACAGAGAGACAGCAAGAGCGGAGTGAGACAGGAAGTGAGAACGACAGAGAGACAGATTAGGACAAGAGACGAGTTAATTCAATACGAAATGGACGGACGTCACAGCTCCTTGTCAGTGTGTAACTGACAGCATGAACTGTCCTGATGACCAGAGGAGGGTGTTTGGAATAAAGTAGCTTCACATTTCATTCATGTCCTGACTCAAGCTCCATACCAAAGACGGAGGGACTGATTAACTTTCTCGTCATTAATGGAGTCCTGTCAGCAAAGCCCTGGACAGGTTGACAACTGAGCTGCCAGGGTTCTCACCTGGACCAAGCCCTGGCAGCTCATCACCGCCCCCCATGCATCAATATATCTGTACATTCAATATTCACAAATCACGACCTGCTTTATAAGGATAAACAAGGTTATATTCATAATAATGATAATAA